CCCTTCCTCTGCTAGGTAGTTTAAGTTGCAAAGTGTGAAGACCACAGGTGTAACTTGAAGGGCTTGTGCTTCAAGTTGACAGCCCAGCACCGGTCTTTACACTCCCGGTTAGGAACTTTGATTAAGATTTTGTTCCATACCAGTACATATGTTCTAAGTCGTTTCACACTGATAAAGTTTCCCATCGAGCCTGATTGTCCACGATTCTGTAGCCTTCATCATGGCTAATAATGCTGCAACTTAGAATCCCGGAGACGGACCGGCCGTGGGGGAGCAGGGGAATTTACAAGTAACGGTCACGGCACGGTTGAGGCAGGCAGACAGGATCTGAAACTATTAGCACGGGTGCCAACGTATCAAACAACCGAACCTGGAACTAGTATTGCAGCCGCCATCATGTCCAAAGGATTGTTTCCAAACCTGTGGATGATCTCTCACTCATCTTCCACTGGACCCTCCGCAGCGCAAGTCACATCATCTGGTAACCGATGAGGTGAACCGGCCGGAGCCGGAGCCCTCAGCTTCCCTTGGTGGCCATATAGTAGATTCCATCCCCATCACCCGGCGTCTCCCGGCAGGCTTGCCGCTACGCGGTTCTGGCTGCCTCGGTTGTGAATCTCTCAAGTCTATCCCTGTGACCGACAACCGAGCGCCTTTTGCTGCATGCCGATGGCCCCCAATACCATCCCTCCCATTCACCCAGAACGGACCTCTTCGCCTCGGCACTGTAGACGGGAACAACTCGCTTCACGGTCTCATCACCTCATTCAGGTACATGTAGCCACTTCATACCATGATTGGCTCATCTCTACCATCTCACGTCCCTTCAACCTCCCCTCAATGCGATAATCGTCTCCCTAGTCTCCTTCACCCTATCCAGTGATTCCAGTCATCCTCGAAGAAGCCACATCGGCATCAGAGTGCCCGCTTTCGACATGATCTCCAGGTCGGTCGTCGACTGCCATCGCAGCACCGTCGTCACACTGACCAAGCCAACGTATGCAACTGTGACTGTGACTATGACCACTCGCCTGGGCCTTCCTTCCTATCAAGTCGCCCTAGACCCCTGACAACCATGGTTGCCCCCGGGCCATTCCCGAACTGCGCAACCACGCTCAACTCAGACCACGAACTGCTCTGTCTTCGCGCCAACTCGTTCTCAGACTTTCGATCCATTACCCAGGTACTTCCCAGACGACCTGTGCCATTATGATGGCCAGGACAGGCCGTCATCGACATCCATCAGCCCGGCTCAGCCTGTCGAAGGGGGCACTTTTCCATAGGCTTGAGCTGTGGCAGATTAGGTAGCCCGTAGTATTCCGTGATGGACGGTCCCGCGACATGCTGCAGTGGTGGGCTATCAACAGAAGCGGTTGGCATGCACTGGCTGAGGCCGGGCCGGGGAGTTACACGGACGCTGCCTGTTCGAACGGGAACCGGGTGAGGGTTTTCGCCGGGGTCTTTTCTACCCTCTTGATTCAGATTCACGACTGAGGATTCCGGGGTCCGAGCCTCACTGACCTAAGAAGCCGTGCCGTGAAGGTCTATCTCGGCGCGTGTAAAGCTGCTTTGGCCCGTGACTAAGAAGATGGTCATGGCTGGCTTTGCATATCTGAGGGATCTGGCCGCGGCGAGCGCCGCGGCGGGGGGAGGCGGATTGTGTAGGTCTGGCGAGCAACTCCGGGAGTGGATGTGGAAGGAATAGGGGGAGGTGGAGAAGAAACGGAGGCCGGGTTAGGGCGAGTGCGTTAATCTATGGTGTGACACAGAGGGTGACAGCGGAATTGAGGAGGTGGTGGTAATTGCTCGGCCTCTAGGACTCGATACCGTGAAAAAGATGAGCATGAGAGATAAGGAGGTAGCCGTTCTCGCTGGAGACAGTCAGCGCTTCAGCGTGCGAGTGTGTCAATCCTCAATCTGTCAGTCTGTGGGAGTTTGGAATGTACCTGGATCGAGCCCTGACTGTGGCGTCGAGGCGTTCGTGAGACGAGCCTTTCACACGCATCTTGGTGAGGGTGATTCATGCATTACTCGCATCCAGGAGTGAGCTCGTGCATGGAGACGGCGAGGGAGAGAGAGGTTTGAGGACCTTTTCGGCTAATAGACCGGTGAGCTGAAGGGCAGTTGTTGATATATCACTGCTGAGCAGGATGACTGTTCTCCTCGGTCTTGCTCTGCTCTGGACGGCCCGAATCGGAGCCTGCTCTTCGGTTACACCATGGGATCGAGCGCACTCACAACATCGGCCCTAGGAAACCACGTGGTTTGCTTCAGATCTTGGGTTACCGTCATGCGAGAGAAGCTCGGACAAGCTGCCTTACGCCATCCTCGTGTAATGGTGCAGTGGATGTGTTCCCGGTGACGAGAAGAGGCGCGCCACGGCTGCAGCCCTTGCCCCCACGGGCCGAAAGAGGATTTTCGGCAAGGGAACGAGGCACATGTGATCTGATAACACTAGAGTATAGGTAGTTACGGAGTACCGTGCATCTAAGGTTCTCTGCGCCTCGCCACGTTGTGCCGATCGATCTGATTCTGCGCTGCACTACAGATCGAAAAGGCATGTAATCCATGTGAACATCACGCGTAGCCCCGAGCTACTGCGTATAGCGCGCAGCTGTCCATCCGAGCAGCCACAAACCACTAAGCAGCCGAGCCGGGGGCATGTCGAGAAGACAGAGGAATCTAGACGTTCGAAAGGGTCGATATGGTCGATGATGTCGAAAATGTTGAAATACCCGTAAGGTAATCATTTGACCCTGGCGAAAGTGAGAGAACCGCCCGTCAAGTCGATGCAGCTACTCAGGTACCCCGTTGTATAAGAACTAGAGAAGACGAGCGAATGGCCAGCGATCTCTCCAGGTAAAAGGTGTCCGGTACTTTGGGTTACCTGCTCCGCTTAGGGCCAGGAAGCTGCGACCAACCGCTCCTGCATCTTGTACGCCCTCGCTTGAGGGGTCGGAATGCATCAAACCAGAGGGGCACAGGTCTGTAGAGCAGGAAGGTACAAATCGTCATGTAGCAAGTGTGACATCCTCTACCACCCTCTTGTTCCAGCGGCCATTTTAATGGAAAAAGCCGGAGGGCTGCATGGCGGCGAGGTCCTCGATGGTAGAAAGTTCGATGTTTGCGAGCCCCTCAAAGTCTCTCAGGCCTCGAGCTGTTGTTTGCTGTCACGATGGCCCTGCGGTTGGCCCTGCTGGCCCGCATATGGCGCTCGAGGACAGCTCGCTGCTGCGGCCTCAAGGGTTGGTTGCAGCCGTCTTGCGTCAACGGGTCGGCACCAGCACCCGGAGTCGCCGGCTACCGTTCTGCCGTAAGTCGTGGTTCGCTTTGAGCTTTGCGAATTCAACCGCAGACTGTTTTGCCCACACGACAGCCCCGGCTGGATGGGCGAGACGAACGCCCAGGCCATCATTTTCCACTGCCGGGTCGGATCAGCATCGAAGATCCCGACAAGCCAAGGTCGCCGAGACGGTGAGATATGTCCATATGTAGTCAACTTAATCTGCAAGCTACGACAAAGCACAAGCGTCTCGGCTCTTCCCGTGCGTAGTCCGCCAAAACCTGAGCTTGGATCGCGCGGTCTGGGGATGGAGAAGCCGAGCGGGAACAGAGCTCCCGCGTTAGTACGGAGGTACGTACAGTACAGTATATGCGTCGTTCAGAGAGAGTGTGGTCTGTGGAGAAATCAGCACAATTCCGTGTCTCCCAGCCTTGATTTGTTGGGCGCGAGACTGTCCCGCCCCCCAAGCTCGCCAGCTTTTCCTGTGCTTCTTGGGTGTCTTGCGTGTGCATCGGAACACAAAATTCGCTAAGCTGTGAGCTCACGACGGAAAGTAACCGCGGGGCCGACCTGCGAGAAGGGATTGGTTGGGCTTGGCTGCTTGGTCCGGGCCTGGGCTTGTCGGGACCGCTCGCCTAGGATGTGGCAAGAGCAGAGTACCGCCGCCATCCGCAAACGCCCTCGGTCCTAGGCAAACCATCTCTACGGCATCGCTTTCACGTTTGCTTAGCTTGCTTGCTTGCCAGTTCAGAACTGGAGTGCTTTTACCAATCTCAGGTAATGGACTGCCTGCTGCTTTTGGACAGCACGGAATCACCTTGATTGAGTTACAGGTCCTGATGTATACAGAAGAAGTCCCGTCTACGATGATGTCCATGCACCCACGCAGAGGGGGTGGAAATTGAATGGCCCGACGGAGGCCAACCTACCTAGTAACTGCTCCTGTGCATTTTGTTATTCTTCCCTCTTTGCTGTAGTATTTTTCTCTTTCTTTTTAAACCCACTCCAATGTGAACTTCAGTGGGCTGAACCCCGGACATGCATCTCTCCCACTCTTGCCCCGAGCTTCTCTTAAAAGGCATTCAGAGCTCCCGTCCATGAGATAAACCCCCCGAAACCCCAAGTTACCGAATCAATCCAATTGACGGCAGCCCGTGCGTTCGGCTTTACTACCTTGTCCCGGCATACTGCGCTCTCTGTGTATCCAATTCTTTCCGCCGTCGCCAAGTGACCGTGCATCCCTACATCAGGTACTGTAGTTGGGGCAGGCCAAACAGCCACCCACTCCGGTCACTACTACTATCCCAAGCTTGCTCCACCGCTCTCCATCGCCAAAACACCGCCTACCTCGCCCACCGCCAACACTAACCCCAGCTTGCTTTGCTGCTGCCCTCTTCCCACTCACGGCCAGGGTTTCCACCTTACACCACCGACATCTCGCCGCCGCCGAGGATCACGTCTACAATCCCAGGCTCTAGATCTGGTTCCTCCATTCTCCCATCAGAAAACTGGGAGTTGACGCCACCAAACCCATCTGCCTCGTCCTCAACGGGTCATCTCTGTTGAACCCCTTGTCCTACTCCTCACTTGGAACCCTCGTCGCTTTTTCCAAGCTAGGGTCGGTGCTACTCTTCCTCTTTTCAGTCCTCGTCCGGTAGCTGCACAGGAACCCCAAGGTTCTCGTCGGCGACGCAACTCGACGAACTTATCCCTCGAAATGGCGGGCAAAATGGTGCTATACAAGCTGGTGGTGTTAGGGGACGGTGGCGTTGGGAAAACAGCCCTGACAATCCAGCTTTGCCTGCAACATTTTGTTGAGACAGTACGTTTTGTGTCGACTTCCCCTGCTTAGCTCTCACAAGCGCCGTGGGCTTCACCCCGCTCGCTGCGGTAATCTGCACTGACAGCTCGCTAATTTGCGGCCCGATAGTATGACCCTACCATTGAGGATTCATACCGGAAGCAAGCCGTGATAGACAACCAAGCGTGCATGCTCGAGGTGTTGGACACGGCAGGGCAGGAAGAGTACACAGCGCTACGAGACCAGTGGATCCGAGACGGCGAGGGCTTCATCCTAGTGTACAGCATCTCGTCCCGCTCGTCATTCACGCGCATCAAGAGGTTCCACCACCAGATACAGCGGGTGAAAGAATCGACAGCCTCGTCACCCTCATACCCGGGGTCACCGATCTCGGCGGCGAATCCGATGGCGCCAGTCCCGATTATGCTAGTAGGGAACAAGAGCGACCGCATTGCCGAGCGAGAAGTCTCAACACAAGAGGGGCACGCCCTCGCCCGCGAGCTAGGTTGCGAGTTCGTCGAGGCTTCGGCCAAGAACTACATCAACGTCGACAAGGCCTTCTATGACGTGGTCAGGATCCTGCGGAGGCAGCGACAAGCCGCCGCGCAACCGCTTCCGCCTGCCGGGGGCGGCAGGTACGAGGGAAGGAGGGCCGACTCGAACATCCAGCCAAGAGAAGGCCGCGCCAGGAGAGGGAACCAGGACCGTCGCAGGGGATGCGTCATATTATGAATGACGTCTGTCTTCCTTAACTCCTCGACACACCCATCGCCCGCTCGCAGCGGCGCCTGGGCGACAGTTCGCTCTTAATAACCGCAACTACCGATTTTTGGAGCCGCTTGACGAATATCTCCCACCCGATATACACACCAGCAATATTTCCCGATTTGGATCCTCATTGCCTCGATTTCTTACACAAAGTATCTTGCTCATACCCTAAGGCCAGACTTTCTGAAACTACCGCACATAACCACTTCTCCCATACGGCGAACGGCGCATGAACCAAAAAGGGCATCACTGGGGCGCAAATATCCGTTTCTATCGAACTACGGGTAGGGGGGAGGTAAACATCCGTTTTCTTCATTTCTTCGTCTTGAGAGAGACCATCTTCTTGTTCTCGAGGAAAGCCGTGGCAATTTCGGGAGTCAAAGGAGGGGCCAAGCGGGGTGTCTGTTCAACCCACCCTTTGTCGGGTTCGAGGATGTTTACACCTGCGTATGGGGTCCATTGAGGCTCCTCTATGCGTTGTCTCCGCAGAGCACAGAGCCGGGGGTACCGCTGTAGACACAGTGGGCTGCCGGAGCAGAGAGAGGGTTCAATTGTCTTGGATAATCGAGGGGCATGTAAGAAGGAAAGGGGGATGATCGGACCAAAGCACCAAACGAGCATTTGGGACGAAAGCATACTTGCATATCTCATTGGGACTGAGAGAACCTGCAGAGAAGTAGAAGAGACCTCCTGCCATATTTTGGACACGGATCTACAAGTCAAATCCCATCCAGATTTGGATATGTCTCCTGCCAATCTCTCTAGCTTGCCTAGGTAGCTGCCCATTCCAAGAAGAACCTCACGCAAAGCCATTCAATACCTTCCCGATCAATCACCGCCGAGCTAGTACACTAGAAAAAGTGCCGCGAAAAAGATGTGCGTTGCTTGCCAACAAGGTCCCTGCAGGATCAACCCTAGCCACACAGGCTAACCGTAAAAAGTTCGACTCTTGCAGAGCAGACACAGGCTTATCCTTGATAAGGTTTCTCGAGCTGCTGTGATTGTAGATCAGCCTTCTAAGCCACCACCCATTCCTGTGTCCGCGTTCAGTTTTGTTGGATTTGTGATTTGAGGAGAGATCTAGATCCTGCATGTGGTGCTTGATTCTGATCTGAGAGCTCCGATCCACCGTCATTGCAGATATCTCTATAGCTTTGAGGGGAGGCTTGACTCCTAGGTAATCCAAGTACGACAAATCACACACATTACATGCAAGCCAGGGACAGGGCAAGGAGACTTGCAGTATATATGCAGATGCCCAGTATTGGTTTCCTTGTTGAGGGATATTTCATTCTAGTTTGGTGCCTGGCTTTGAGTCTCTTTTCTGATGCAATGTACCGGTACTGTAGCTATGTAGCCATGTGCCTACCCATCAAATAGGACGGATATGTAGAATCAAAAGAGAGGTTTGGATGAACACTCTTCCAGAATGTTACACTACCTCGAGACTACCAGAAGCAGACAGCCTCGATTTTTGTCGCTTTCGGTCAGACCACTATCTTGCCTATCCGATAGTAAAGTCTTCCCATGCCAATGTTGGCCGTTTGTCTTGTTACTGCCACAGACGACTTACCACCAGAAGAGTCAGAAGAGTCAGACAGACACCTCATGTAGTCGGAAAGACGCACAAAAAGATTTGTTGGCGTCCAGTCCCAAATCTCGAATGCCACCAATCTTTCTCAAAGAATGAGGTGGGGGTGGTTGGAGGTGATGGAGAATTTTAGTGCAGATGGGGAGATTCTCCCCACCAACGGTGGGGCGCTTGGTCTGTGCCCTTTGCGGCCCCGCCATCCGTTGACGGGACACCCTGGACGTGAGGTGACACCAGACTGTGCACAGGCCACCTGGCGAGCGTAACGTACATACATACAATACTAGCTTCATGTACTGGAGACTGGTAATTACATACCATCTTACGAGGCCCGCCAGTTTAGCTAAGGGAAAGCAGTTTTGAGACGGTGATCTTGCGGCTCCAGTCGTTGCATTTGAGCATTTGCAAGTTATATGCGGAGTGCAGCCGGTGTGGTTGCAGGCGTTGTGCGATGGAACTCTTGATAGGCAGTGCTCTTGAAGTTGGCGTTTGTTCGTCTCTTTTGCCGGTCCTTCGTCGACGTCAGCGTTCCAGTCGAACGGATGAACTTCCTCCTTCTCATCCCGTCTTCTATTTTTCCTAGGTTGCTGCTCTGCGGCCGGCCTACGGACGAATTCACCCTACACTACTACCGACCTGTACTGTGTAAGTGCTCGAACTCCCGGCGATTTTGCAGTCTTGCCGACGGGCTCAACGGGCGGTAACTGCGTGCCCGGTCCATCCCTTTCGTTTCATCATGGTCAGGAGCATGAAGTATGTATGTATGTACTTGTACCTTCGCAAGGTGGTTTCTGAGGTGGATGACTTTCAGATTCGCCATGGCGAAGCCATTGTGGGCCGAGCAGATAAGGCAAGCCGCAGCTAACGGCCCCTGAAAAGGACAAGAAGAAAGCACAAAGTTTATTTCGAGGAGACCTTTTTTGATATTCGCTGAAGACTATACTTATCAACACACCCAAATCATTCGCAAGCGAAAGTACCAATCAGTCATCGCATCAAACAAGCAAGTGCATCGCCATACGGTCGCCTTCAACCAGCACTCCTTCGCTAAGAAGCTGTCGTTATATATAGAAAGCTCGATACACTTGCAAACGATGGCCACTGAAGAATCCGCCCCAAACAAATCGCTTTGTCCTGTTTATAGATTGTTTTCCGTGGTATGGTTCCGCTGGTTTGGCTGACCATGACAATTCTGTCGATCCAACCGGAGGGATACTTGGGTATGCTGGAAAATTGAGTGTGGGGATAAGTATAGGTCTCCACGAATATCAAAAAGGGTCTCGGCGAATAAAATTTGTGGAAGAAAGTACCCAGCTCCCAGTTTTGCTCTAAAAGCCTGATTTCGAGAACGTAACAGTATGCCCTCTTTCCTCCCCTTCTTGGTGCCCAATGAGCCGGCCATAACCATACAATTTTGCTCCTTTCTGCTCTCTAACCCTGGCCCTGTCTCCCAATGACCCGGCGACAACGTTACTGTGAGCCGGCCCTTCTGATGCCGGGCTAAATGTGGATAACGGCGTGCGCACCGTACAGTTCAGTACAGTACAGTACGCTACTGTACTGTATGTATGTACATACATACACTGTGTACTGTGAAAGATTGGCTGGATTCGGGCAACGCTGCCGATGGTCGGTCGACGTTGACGAACTTGACGTTGCCACGGGCATTGTCTGTGCTTCGCATCAACCGGTCAAGGAAAAGACTCGCTTCCCCAGCCTCCGACGGTCCGACCTGACACCAACAAATCCTCTGGTCGGTCTACCCCGGATCGATTTCTTGCACCGGCTAAATAACTTACCATGAAGCGCCGGCAGCCACGATGGAGGAGGAACCAGCTCAATGGGGACTAGACAGCGACGACCGCTTTCTGGCATGCCAATCTCTAGACAAGCTTACCTCTCTAAACCGATGTCATGATGGAAACATGCGGGACCAAAAAGAAAAGCCAAGACCACTTGGGATTTATCCCATCCTCTCATTCTGTCGACCATTGACCTCTAGCCAGTCGGATCGACAGACCAAAGCGTTAGGGCGAAAGTGGAAAAAGTGATAGGTTACCTGAAGTTGGACGACCTTTTCCTCTTGCACAGAGCCAACAGGAACGGCGTGATAAAGCTCTCGAGATCGACTCGGCTTGAATTAGGTAGGTGCGAGGCCGACAAACCGAACAAGATCCCAATGTGATATTTATTTACATTCTTTCCCGCCGGACCTCAACCTAACTGAGGCACTCCGTACGAAGTACCGGAGTTAACAATGGCTGGAGCGGAAAGCCAGTAGGGCCACCCGACCCTCCCCCTTCCTTTCCCACCGAACCCCAATCAAGGGTTTACCCGCCCCCAGCCATCCTGTTAAGGTTGTTGTTCGACCAAGGGTTTACACTCGGGAGCCCGCCAATCGTACTCCATACACACACCGCATAACGCGAGATAACGGTTGAAAAGCGTTGGCAACTTCCCTTTCCCTCCCTTTCTTCTTCTGCTGCAGGGTGCAGTGTACGATACACTATCTGTGCTGCTGGTTGATCAATGTCTTAAACCCTGGAAGCAAGCCCCAGAAGCGGAAGGAGGACCCGGGTAATGCGGGGGCTCCGGGGTCCGGGACCCACCGGCCGCCGCACCGGGAGCGCTTCCGCGGGACAGAGAGCCAATATTGACACTAGCGTACGGAGTATAATTCCCTACCCTTACTGTTTATCTGCACGCATGTTCTGGCTATCACTGGATTCAAGGTGATGATCCAGTCTGTCGGATGCCCCTAAACCCTTTCAAACTATCTGCTATGATAGTTAGCACACCGCTCAACCGGCTGGCTCCGAGTCGTCCCCGGGCCCGGGTCGGTCGTATCGAGTGAGGTAGTAACGTAACTTACCACATCTTGGCTCAACACGCAAGTCGGCCCAGTCAATTTCCACACCTCCACAACGCTTCCCACAACGCTCTACAACGGTCAGACACACAGTATTGCTTCTTTGAATAGCTTCATTTCCAACGGCCTAAGCCTTCAAACCACCTAGAAATTTATCGCCAGTAAGTTCCTTTCCTTCTTCTATCAATTCTTCTATTAATTCTAACGACAAGATAGCTAACAACAACAATAACGGACCCAACAAGGGAACTCGCATCTACAAAGCGATCAAAGCCATCTAGGATGGTATGAGCCAGTATACCGCTGCCAAGCTGTTCAATATACTATATATAACCTTGAAAAACTAGCTCTATAGAACCTACATGCCCATTCGCGAGGCTAAGGCAAAGACCTAGCGGTTGTCCTCTAGTGAGG